CATTATTATTATAACATTTCTATGCCGCCCCTTGCCGAAACCTCGGGGCGGCTTACAACACGATAAAATACAATGAAATACAATAGCACATAATAAATTACCATTAATTACAAAATACAAAAAATACATTGATTTACAAATATAAGATTAAAATTATCAGTATAAATTAAGTAAATAAAAATATAGGAGGAGAAAGAGAAGAAGAAGTTGCCCTGGCCAGAAGTTGCCCTGGTGTGGACATATATACTTGCATCATATGTGTCCACACCAGTTTGAGGGTTCTCCTGGACCCAGAATTACCCCTCAAGTCTCAAGTGGACTCAGTGACCAGGAGCACCTTTTACCTGCTGAGGCCGATCTTCCAGCGGTGTCCATATCTGCACAGATGGAGCCTGGACACAGTGAGCCAAGCTCTGGTAACTTCTCACCTGGATTTCTGTAATGCACTCTGTGTGGAGCTGCCTTGGAAATGGTCCACAAACTTTAATTGGTTCAGATCAGGGTGGTGTGGCTGATAATGAGGACTGGCTCATGTGATCGTATCATGCCAGTCCTCCATCAGCTACGCTGGCTGCCTGTTGAAGCCCAGTCCCAATTCAAAGTGCTGATGCTAACGCATAAAGCCATGTACTAATTTTCTGACTCACCAGGAGTTGCCAAGTTGTTGTATTTGGCTTTAATTGGCCTTATTGTTTTTTACTGCTTTTATTGTTGCTATATGTTTTTATCTGTAAAATGCCCAGAGAGCCCTGTGGACTCTGGGGTGGTATACACATGTAATACATAAATAAAATCTCGGAAAGGCTTTGGCCAAACTCCAAAGATACAATTGCAGAGGAATGGACATGTGTTGAAATGCATTTAGTACATGTGAATTGAAAGACAGCTGTATACAAAACCAGGAAAAATGGGAAGCAGCAATGGATTTTCTGCATTTTTGTATTACAAATCCCATCACTGATCACTAGCAGTTTGAATTTTCAATTTGGTTTGTGTTTTTATATTCAGTTGGCAAGGTGCATATGTTAGTGCACTAAAACATGTAATCAAATCAGTAGAATCTTGATTTTTGACCCAGGTTTCTGATTCTCAGACTGAGAGATAAATAGACCTTACATAGTTATCACTAGCTGGGATATCATATCACTGCGTATCTCAAACACTCATCAGTGTGAATGTGCACATTTTCCTGGAGCTTTTCCGGAGCTAGTTCCTATGACTAAGCTAATATGAATTAATAAAACACATCTGGCTTACAGTTTCTTATCTTCCCAAGGTGTGCTGTACTGTTCCCATCTTTAATGTGAGTCAAGTCCTGCAATTGTGCAATACTATAAATGCAAACCACAATGTGAGATGGAAAGAACTGTGGTTTCATTTACAGCTCCATGCAGAAAGTTCTGAAGTCAATCAGAACATAATGTTCCACCTTCCTTTCTCTCTCTCATGGGCAGAGATGGGACCTGGTGGAAGAGGAGCCTTGTCCTTCTGGGTCCCTGATGGGCATCAAAGTAGCCCAGCTCTCTTGCTTTCCTTCCCTGGTGGAAAAAGACAGATTAGCTGTGAAGAGAAGCAGGATCTGGTGCTCCAGCTCTCCTTTGGCTGCATCAAGCCCTGTCTATATGAGGACAGAGTTTGGAGTGTACAAACCACAGCTATCCAATTACAGCAGGAGCTCTGAAGGCGCTCATGGGTTTGTGCTGAACATACCATCTCATTGGCCTCTGGACCACAGAGTTTTCTGTGATGTCCCTGTTTGCCAAAGCACTCACTCAGGAATAACCAAGGAAGAAACCGGCTTGCTTAGTCCTTTTGTAAAGCTTGTCTTCTTCCAAACGCTGCTATGAGAACAGCTATGATTCAGCGGTTCTCATCTTGCAGCATTGTCTGATCAGGTTCCTCCTTAACTTCCATATCCATCTTGACAGTGCGGAGGCCAAATCAATGGCGGGGACATCGCTGTCTTTGCATCCAGAGCCGGCCATGGCGTTTGTTGGCACCCACCGTGCTTCATATGCAGCGTTTGCAACGAGCTGCTGGTGGACCTTATCTATTTCTATCAAGATGGGAAGATTTACTGTGGCCGGCACCATGCTGAATGCCTGAAGCCTCGGTGTGCAGCATGCGATGAGGTAAGGCCAGCCACACACCTTTACTTGTGGTGAGATGGAGGTTTGCATGTGCTGATGCTCATTCTAGTCCCAGTGTGTTAAGTGGTGAATTACTGCAGGCGCCCAAATTCAGCTTGCCAGCTTATCTTTGTGCCTGCATCTTGTGGCTTGCAAAGGAGGGAAGATGAGAAATTCCTCAAGGCTGATACCCCACAGTGGTCTCTGCCTGCTCAGGCACTCTTGACAGCAGGTTGCTGAACTTCTTCTGGCCTGTGCCTCGCCCCATGACCCAGGCAGGCAAAGTGCCACCACAACTCGCTTGTGGCCTTGAGGCCACCACAGCTTTCCCTTCTCAAATAGGAGATGGTTTAACATGCTGTTTTTATCAACATTCTCCCTGCTCCACCATCTGCTGGCGGCTAGTCTGCAGCTGGGAAGTGGAAGAGAGGGCGAGTGCTAAACATGCCATTTTGCAGGGGCTGTTCCTTCTCAAGAAAAAAGAATCTCAGAAGAAATACCTGATTGTGAATTCATTCCCAGTTCATAACCAGGGCATCTTACGATAGTTGTGTGTTGTGATCATCAGCAAAGGATGGTCACACCAGTTGAGATCATGGGATATTGCAGAACAGGCCTCCAGGCAGGTACGCCATCAAATCATCAGCACCCGTGTGAGAAAGTGACTCTGAGTGAAAATCGTGGAAGTTTGTCTGCAACCGCTGTGAAAACATTGCACACTGTTGCTATAGCATCACAGCATGAGGAGGGACAGTTTCTGCCATGAGGTGGCGGGGAGGAGGCTGAGAAAGAGAGTGCAAGCAACATGGATTCTTGACGAGGGTACAAAATGGCTACCTGAAACCTGAATATCTGAACGCCTTTACAAACACTACCAGTGGCCAGTAGTACTGGGCAATGGTTAGAGTACTTCATGGCCTGTCTCAACCCACTGTGTGCCTGCTGGTTCTTCGAGAGCACGATGGAAACTGAATTTAGCTTTGTCTTAGATGCATGCGCCAGATGCTTTCTGGTGTTTGATGACTGAAAGGGGGGGCACACATCTCGAGACAACAGTGACATGGGGGGAAAGGGGTTCTAAAAGTCCTGTGTGCCAAGGAACAAAATATTTTTTATTGCCCTATACATTTCCAAAATGTAGATTTCTTCAGGGGCTGAAAGTCATCTGTTATACCATAACTATACTATCATCACTTTCTTGCTCTCTTCTGTCTTGCAATGGGGTTTTTCTAGTGAAGTTTGTTGCTGTGTTTGATGAGCATTTCTGACTGTGGTGTTTGTGGGCTGCCTGCTCCTAGAGGTGGATCCCACCCTTACCCATGCAGGGTGACCTGCCTGTGTTCCCACTGGTACAGCTGCAGAGTTCAGGTCATGGGTGGCTGGCTGTGATCATCATCGGAGCCTGGAGAAACCAGAAACAGAAGTGTAATATGGCCGCCTTTCTTCCTTTTTGGCAAACCTGTTTCCCTTAGTGAGTGGGTGTTGTTTGTGTGAGTGCTGCCATTTGCACCCCTCTCCGGTTCAGGGGAACAGTCTCCTTCCCTGTCATGGTTCCTCCCCTGAACCCCTTGCCATCCCTGTTTGCTCAACACAAACTTTCTGGTTTAGTTTTCCCATCACTTCCTATGTTTTTCATTGAAAGCAGAGCATCATGACCTCAAGCTACGTGTCCTGACCCAGGCACTCACCTGCTGTTCTGTCTTACTTGTGGGTGTGCCCTGCCACGGGGAACATGAAGGAACTATTTGTGGTCCAGAGCTGCCTAATCATAAACTTACCCTTGGCTTACCCTTTGATTCATGTATGACAGGGAAGGCAAACTTCTTCCCCACTTTGTCTAAAATGGCAAACCTTCTAAGATTTTACTTAGTTCCCTGGTCATGGAGTTTATGGGTTCAAACCACAGCCAGGGTTTGGTTTACATGAAAGTGGTGACGCCTACCAGTTTCTTGCAGGTATATTGTTCTGAATTTCTGGATCCCGTATACTGAAAAAGGAATGAGTGTCGTCCTAGGCTGCATTTTTGTCCTTGCACAGTATATGGGCCATTTTCACGACCAGCATTTCCATGTGTTGATGCTGTGGCAGAAAATTAGGACTCTGGTATCAGGAGGCTTAAACATAAGGGCGTTGAGATAGCCAAGCTGTTAAAAATAAACTAAAACTATATGACAAGAGAACAGAATTTGCGATAGGTCATAACAACAGCTAATAAACCCTGAGCTCCTCCTTTTCCTTTCCACAGATCATCTTTGCTGATGAGTGCACAGAGGCTGAGGGAAGGCATTGGCACATGAAGCACTTTTGCTGTTTTGAATGTGAAACGGTGCTGGGTGGCCAGCGATACATCATGAAGGAAGGGCGACCATATTGCTGCAACTGTTTCGAATCCTTGTACGCAGAATACTGCGATACCTGCGCTCAGCACATTGGTAAGGAAGCAGATAAAATCTCTCCCTTTTGCTGCCAGGATGAGGGTCAAGGAGTGGGAAAGATTCAAACTACCCTTGATGTGGATTTAGGTATACACTATTTTTATTTTTAAAACACGAACAGGATATGGCATGTCAACACACTGTTGCATTATTGTTTAAGGTGAAGCACAGCTCTAGGCTAGCAGTTGAAATGGTTTTGTTTTGAAAGTACCTGACAGGCCCTGGCATCTGTTTCTGTCAAGCCTCCAGTAACCACTTGGCAGGTGGAAGCGTCTAGCTAGGCCCACAGTCTAGATGGCAACATTAGTGCTGGCAAGGAAGAAAAGCGAAATCAGGAGCACCAGTGCCAGCCACTGATAGGCCTCCATGGTGCACCAGTTTCAAAAAAATGCTGGTAAGCTCCAGCCCTGCCAGAGGGGCAGGCAGTGGGAGGTGGGATCATGTGAGCAAGGAAATGAGGCGTATGTGCATTGCTTTAATTTTTGGTTTTTGTGCTAATGGAAGAGATGCCATCTCTGTGAGCTATCGTTGCAGCTCCACTATCAAAACGCTCATAAGAGCTTACACAAGTGTTTGAAAGCTGGCTGTGAAACTCTCGTCATGCCTGGGGTAATAATTTCATATGTTCAAAACTTAGGAAATCTCATTCGGAAGGCTTTAAATAGCTATCTTGGTAGTAGCATTTTAAAATATTGCATCATCCTAAGCCCAGTTAAAGAATTGAAGACACCTTGAGATGCTAAAACCCAGTCCTGTAGAGCCTTCAATCCAGAGAGTGAATGCCAGGCCAAAGGAAATGCTAAGTCAGTGCTATTGAGAGATGCCTGCCTTAGTTGCCTCTAGGATGCCACTCACAGAGAACCCGTGTCTGCATGTTCCCACTGCCCTGATTTTACACTGAGATTAGAAACATAGAAAGCTGCCCTTTATCAAGTCAGGCCTGCCTGCCTGCCTGATATTCAATATCCTACCCTTTTTCCTTTCAAGGAACTCAAGGCAACTTAAATAATTCTCCTCGTCCTCTAAATTTTATCCTCACAGCAACAACCCTGGGAGGTAGGTTGGCCTGAAAGCCTGTGACGGGCCCAAAGTCGCCCAGTGAGCTCTGTGGCCGAGTGGGGACTAGAACCCGGATCTCCTGAGTCCCCGTCCTGCACTCGGAACCACTGTGTCACACTGGCTCTTGGTCTAGCTCAGCATTAGCTCTGTGCTGACCAGCAGCAGGCCTCCAGGGCTTTGGGTACCTTTCCCAAGCCCCTATAGGGAAAGCACATGCTCTAGCGCTGGAGTAGCGTCCTTCCCTGCAGAGAGGCATATTCTTAAGAGAGACTTTGAGTCAGTCTGGAGGCATTTTCATGTGTGACACTGAAAAGTACGTTTCAGCAAATTGAGCATTTTGGGTCACATGTACAAGTGCTGCTGAAGCAAGAGGGAATTTGGAAGAAAACAGGGTCTGACTACAGGCTAATGCAGATGTTACATGTGGTAGGAACCAAGTGTCGGATGCTGTGATGATTGTTTTATTCTACTCATTTTCTTCTAAGCCATCCCAAGGTGCTAGTAGCGGATGGGTCAGAAAAGCTTTTAATAAATGAATAACTAAATCTAAAACCAAGGGCAGTGGGATTCAAGTTTCACTTCTGCTGAGAGATCATGAAGGCCACTGGGGAAGAAATGATTTCCTAGTTTGATAACAGACATTTACCTGGTTCAAAAGTTGTGCAAAGGCATGGTGGGTGGTCACTGAGGGTGGTTGCCATGTGGCTTAGAGTGATGTCAGAACCCAACCCAACTTTTCTATCGTGGGTTCTTTTTCTTGTGGTAGCTTGTGGTAGAGTTACTTTGGGCAGCTTGTCTGGGCAAGCAAATCCAGCAGTCATTTCAGCATGGGTTCTTTCAAATGGCAGAAGATTTGCTTGGGAAGAGCTGCGAAAAGCACCTCCTCACAATCTTGCTAATGATACCCCCTCTTGGTTGCACCTTGAAATGACTGCCGTCATTTACTTCTCTACATCATCGCTCCCCTAGACAGTCTCTTTTTTCCCCAACCTTTAGGAGATTTGCACAAATGTAACTTTATTTTTTAAAACTTTCAGAAAGATTTACACATATCTGAAAGAGGTCAGTAACTGAAGCAGAATAGTTACTGTACTTTAGTGAATTTTCACAGCCATCCCTGGAGAGGCTTGGAAAAAGTAGCATTAAATAGGCACAAGTCTTCCATAGTAAGGGAGAAAAACTTCTTACACCTCAGACAAACCTCCTGGAAGGTTAAAAAAAATCTGCAGAATATCATATACTATACTAATGACTGCAAATGTGCTCATCATGGAGTAGGCTGCTGAGGCTGAGCTGCAAAGGCCCATGGGAGACATGCTGGGTTTTGAGGGAGGTCTAATGAGGAAATATGCTGTGGCAAATGGGCACGCGTTTGATCTTCTATCAGGAGTAGCATGGATTAATGGGTGAAATACTGTAGCTTGTTTCAGGGCTGTTAATTAGGACATGTGGGCCAGCCCGCTACTTCAAATCTGTATGTAGGAGTTACATCTTTTTAAAAAAAAAAATGTGATTAATCTACAGTAGGCATAGGAGCTGCGATCTAAATGGTGAAAGCTCCACCATCTGCCACAGTAGGATTCTGATCTAGATCAGCAGCCCTTCACCTACTGCAGAGTCAGAGTGAAAGGGAAAGAAAAAAGAGAAAGGGTAGCTGCTAGATATAGATTTAAAATAGTGTCTGTGTCAGCCCTTGGAGAAGTGGCGATTGACTCATCTTTATCGATGCTTAAATGGTTTCTGTAGATTTCGTATGGTTGGCTTCTGTTTGGCTGAGGGAGAAAAACACCTTCCAAGAAGAGAGAAAACAGTTATGTCACTCAGTCCTGAGTTGTCTTAGCCATTAGAGGGAACACCCCGGGGGCACTTGAGGGGTGTGTCTCAGATTCTGTTTGAAATGTGAGAAAACGCATTCCAGTCTCATCCCAGTGGCTTCTGAGGCTCTGGGGAAGGAGGCAGTAAAACATAGCACTGAGCCAGTAAAGAGTCAGCATTCTAGCCAGATGCCCACAAAAGGACAGAGAAGTGTGCATATGCGTGGCCTTGATAATGAACCGATCTTTTCGATCTTTTCATCTACGTGCCGAGCCAAAAGCAGGAGAAAGTGCTCCTTCTGCCCAGGTCCTCCAGCTTTGCGCAGCTATAACCTTAGCCAGTTTTCTCCAGCTTCCAGCAACTCCATCCAGCACTGTCACTGAATATGCAGTTGGGGATGGTGGAAGTTTTAAGACATCTGAAGGGCATGAGGTTGGAGAAGACTGGGCTGGGTAGAACTTCAGTTGCTTTCCTCTGCTCTCACATTCCTGCCTCACAATCTTTCACATGCTTGTTGCATAATAGGAATCATTGCCCTTTTTTCCAATGTTCTCTGCAAATAGGCTGCTTCTTCCCTTCCCCCAAGAGAAACATATTGGCTGGCAACCACGTCTTGCTATAGCAATATATCCTTATGTTCCTGTTACTTTCTGAAAGCTAGTGGTGTGGGTTGTGCGTTTGCCTTCATGCTGAAGAAGCAGATCTGAGTGAGTGCCTGTGTTTGTGGTGAACAGCGTTATGATTTAGTTGCACAGAATGCATGGCAACCGTTTGCTAGTTAATGCTGCTCGGTTCATCAGGTGTGAACAAAGGGAAGAGATGGTGCCGGGACTTGCGCAGTGGAACCTGCATGTAAAGGCATGTTGTGGTTTGCCTCTTCTGTAATTGTTCTAGGGAGAAGCAGTGGAGGTTGGTCACTGCAGTGTCTTTGGGTGTTATGCTGAACAGGTAAAGGAGCTATCCATGGTGCTGAACCCCATCACCACCCTCAGAATAGGTTCAGTGCCTTGGATAGCTCTTTTCAAGTTCATACTTAAACCTGGAGTGGATACACACCACAACACTGAAATTAGAACAACCAGCCACTGCTGGGACGAGCTGTTGGGGCTGGGTGGGGGGAATGTCTTACTGGACCCAGACAATAACAACGGAAAATGCATGGGCAAGAGTGGGCAGATGTAACCAGTGTCTGCGAATAGATAACCTTGAAAGCAACCAGGATAGGGAAATCCCCTGTTTATATATCAGCTGAGAAAAGTGGGACAATCCTTCCTTTTCAGAATTACATAATAAAAGATGACTTATGAACATCACCATTTGGCCTGCTTAGCAATTTAATGACCTTAAGTGGTTCCAAAAATAGATTCCCATCCTCAAGTATATGAATACACATTGAATGTGCTCCTTCTGTTAAACAAGAACAACAAAACCCAAACCCAGCCAGTTTAAATGGGAAGTTCCTTCTGGAGCTAGTGTGCTTCTCTTGAAAGTTAGCAGTAGCAGAATTTAAAAACGGACAAGCCTGACAATATCTGGATTGGCTCATTGTCTATTCTTAATTTCCACTTTACTCTGTGGAATTCTTTGAATTGTTTTCTTGGTCATTAAGAAAAATGTCTTTCAAATGCTCATAAACCCCAGCAGATAGGGATTTTAATCTGAATTAAACTCAGCCTTGGCACGCTCATCTGAAAACATATGGAGGTTTGTGAGTCAGCATCTTCCAACAGGCAAGGAACTCATGTCCTTGTCTCTGACAGATTCTAGCACATGCCACATGATGAGCTGGGTCCTGGACTTGCCTTGTGTGAGAAGAAGGGACTTCTGGCAAGGGGCAGCACCCTGCTCATGGGAGGTCCCTCCTCCTGATTTTGGAGGCGTTCTCTTTGCCTCCTCTACCCCGTTCACTACCCATCCAGCAGTTTCCTGACTCTTGCGTAGCTTCTTCAGGGGACTGGAGGGGCTGCTTCTACGAGCACAATTGCTCATGCTTAAGTCTGGATCAGGCCCATTAATGGTTTCCCCACTGCTCAGTTCTTGCAGTTTATTAATGCACTATTTGTGCTTTTTAAATGATGGAGGTAATTTAGTGTGTTTTTAAATATAGATGAGAGGTCTTCAAA